CTGCCAAACTTTGTAATTAAGAACAAATGCCTCAGCTGTTGTTTTAATTAACTTCTCTTCCAATCTATTTTCTTTTTGTGCTAGGCTTGAGGTTTGTAATTCAGGTTTATAAGATGTTCTAAGAATCTTTTTGGAGGAAGAGAAAAGTAGAAACATATTATCTAACTACTGACTATATATTTAACTTCTTCAGGGGAAAAAAATAATACAACGATAACTCACAGAAAAAAGTAAGAAATGATAACCCAAGTAAAGAAAGATATAAGAAAAAGTAAAGAAAACATAGCTAAAACTAATTTACAGTAACATTATTCATTATACAGTACCTCTCCATACCTTCCTGCTCCATACATTGCATTTTGTTCTTTAAACTTCTCACCTCTCTCTTTTCCAAGATCTCATCAACTCCATCCAAACACAACCTTCCCTTCCCTTTGATCCATTCATCCTTTCAGTTCCTCAGTGTATGACCAAACCAACTCAATAGTCATTGAATGTATGGGTCACTCACTTTGATATTCAACCCAGATTCATTCGCCCATCATTCTTGTCCTCTTCTTGTCTTACCACATACACTTCTTAAGTAACCCTTACTGCCTCCATTCAACTTACTTTAATGTTTTTCCTGACATACCCAGCTCCCACACAAAATGAGCTGAAGCATGCTCTTACACATAGCCATTATCACCTCAATCAACCAGCATCCATTTCTCCCAAAAGGACATATACCTGTTACCCTTCTATTAGCATTTGCATGTCATAAAATTTCTCTATTAATTTTCCCATGTCTAAAAAAGCATACTGCCAAGTACAAAAAAAACCATCGACTTGTTCTACTTTTTCATGCTTTATGTATAATTTGCAATGACTCACTCCATTTTCCTAGTCAAACACAACTATTTTGGTCTTTTATACATTTCCAGATCCATAGTTGTTATTAAATTATACTACTTATCTAACATTTGGTGCAAATCATTCAGGTCTCAGCCTACAAAATGGCATAATCTTCATACAAGAGTACATGTACATTCACATCCTCAACCAACACTCTTCTAACATCACTGAAAGCATTCCTTATATATTTGTCCATAAATATACTGACCAATCAAGGGGGCATTACACAATCTTATCTTACTGTTTAGTAGTGAACTATTCACTGAGTATTCCATTTATTTCCATGTATGCTTTATTTACACCATACATATACCATTTTTATCACACTGAGCAACCAACTTCCAACCACATATTTGTGCAAAACATTCCACAATTTAAGCCTATTCACTTTATCATATGCTTTCTTTAAATCAACAAACTATGGTGAAATTTCTTTCTCACATTCATACATTTCTCAATGACTTGCTGAACAGCAAATATCTGATTTGCTCAATCAGCATAAAGCTGCACTGCACTTCCCAAATTTGTCACCTTTTGTGCCTTTCCAATCACATTTCTACCAAACAGTTTTCCAGGTACCCAAAAAACTAATCCCCTTGAGGATTTTGCCTTCCCTCTTGTAGAATCAGTAATCGTATTCTTTCAGTCATCAGACATGGATGAAGCCCTTGCACATACATTAAACAAGTCACATAGCCACTCATAAGCAAGCCACATCCATATTTTAACATTTCTTCAGTTAAAGTGCCTATACCGCTGTTTCTCAACCTTGGGGACTTTAAGATGTGTGGACTTCAACTCCCAGAATTCCCCAGCCAGCATGGTTCTTTCATTATCACTATTCACTAAAATATAAATCATAACTGGTAGAACCTACTGATTCTTACTTTGCATCATTGTGGTTTGCTGTGGATGCCACTGGTTGCAGTCTTCTATATTCTGTTGGTTACCACCAGATTAGTCTATACTGGTAGTCCTTGGCCTATGACCACTCATTCAGCAACCATCCAAAGTTATGACAGTGCTGAACAAGGGGTATATACAACTGGTCCTCAAAGTTGCAGCCATTGCAGCATCTCCACAGTTACCTGATCGCAATTCGGGTGCTTGGCAACCAGCTCGCAATTACCACAGTTTCAGCATCCCATAGTCATGTGATTGCCATTTGCGACCTTCCTTGCCAGCTTCCCACAAGCAAAGTCAATGCGGAAGCCAGCAGGGAAGGTTGCAAGTCACTTCCCTAAGTTGCTCCTGCTGTAGAGAGTGGTTTTCCCCTTTCTTTGGATATTGGTGAGACCTCACTTTAGGCTTGTGGGATACAGTAGATACTGATTGCCACTGCCCATAGTGGTTCCATCAGTCGAGGCTTTTATATAATGCTTTTTAGTAAAATAGAGATGATGGAGAAGTTCACTTCTAGGAGAAGTGCTGACAAATAACACAGAGAAGGCTGAAATGCAGTACCTACTTTATCCTGCTTGAGTCTTCAAAAAAAAGAAAAGCTGTGATGAGACGGTAGCTGTATCGATATTGATAGGCAAGACAAGAGAAAGGGGCATGGGTCAAGCTCACAAAGGAGAAAGTCAAAGAAGATTCAGATTATTTGAATGTGTTACAGTTGCAGGATGCCAGCCTTTTGATGCTTTAAACTCATGTATTCCACACATTTCAGACTGTACTTTGAAAAATAGCATTTTTTTTTACTAGAAGCTACTTTAGACTCTTATATACATGTTCTCTCATCTATATGGACTTTGTCACTGTAATTTTTTTATAATAAATACCAAGATAACAAGTACACATGTCTCTGACAGGAGTTCCATTCAGGACACTCTGATCAGCAGGAGGTACTGGAAGAGGGAGAGAAAAGCAATTTTCATAAATTTCTTATCTTCAGCAAGCCTTCACATTATCTGTGCTGTCCCTGAAAATGTTGTAACTCTGGGGATCAGTTTTTTCAGAAGACATTAGGGACTGCAAAATGAAGACTGAAGAAATGTCTCATTCCCACTAGCAAAAAGATTTCACTTTTTTTGTAAGAAGCAAATACTAGATTAAACTACTGTATGTGTTTTTAATAGGGTTTTTTTCTAAAATTCTTCTCTTTTGTTTTTTCTTTTGTTCTTGTCAACATAGTTCTTATATTTGGTATATAACTGTAGGTTTTGATTATTTGATTTTATATGATTGCTGTAATAAAATATACAAATTAGCCTCAGAGTACTTAAAAGAAAAATAAAATAATAGAAAGAATAGCCCTTCCATTACTGAAACTCAATCAACTTAAGGATGGTTGTATGTCAGCTTCTGCAAGTATCTGAACCAATATTTCTGTTTCTGTGTAGTAACCCATCAAATATTTCTATCCCAGTTTTGATTATATACTTTTTTCTAGAGATGAATGGACACAGATGCAACTTTTTTTCTTACTGCAGTACAATGTCAAATTGGAATTGGAAAGAAAGACTAAACCTTGTGCCACTGTAATATACCGTTCCAATTTTAAACTCATCACATCCCTGATATTAATAAATCTGATCAGTTCAGTAAACTCCTTTGTTTAGGATAATCATTGAAAGATTCCCCTCTTGCACAATCTAAGCAAATAGTCCTCACCATGCTATCCCCCTCTAATCTCAAATTCCCAGGACTCTGAAAGGCAATCCTCCTTCCTTTCCCTCTGCCTTCCAGGGATGTGGCTGCATGACTGAACATGTAGTGCCTGCCATCTTGCCCATCCCATTCAGAGCTTACCAGCAAGGGCCAGTGGTATGCTCAGAAGTACCAGTGCCAAAATGTACTAGCATACCTTCTCTAGATTTTCAATATTATTCACAGGAGCTAAGGGAGCACCAGCTCACAGTCAGTTGAGGAAATAAAACATATTTCAAATTGCTGGGCATACATTTCTGGGCATTGACTCACCCAGTAGTGCTCTTTAGGGAGAGAGCTATTGGAGGAAATAGAAGATAAAGAAATGCCCAACACAGACTGAAGCCATTTTCTTAAAGTGATTTCATACCCTTGGCCAAGAAGGCTTACAAGACCCTCAGCCTCAAAGAAGTTTAATCTCGATCAGCCACCAACCCACTTTAGGGTGAGTATCCCCTTCCCAGATGTGCTGAGGAGGGTCCTCAAGATGGACTTAACCCCCCAAGTTCCATCTCTGCAGTCAAAGTGCAAAGATATGCCTTTCCACTGCAGCCAAATGTTAGTCCATCTCATCCCAAGCTATCTTCAAAGTTTTAAAGCAGACATTTTGATGAATCTATAAAAAATGTACTAGCTGAAACCAAAGGAAAGCCTTTGCAGCCATTTCTGTCAGAAGGAAGAACAGGCAGCCTGCTAGGGCCCAAACTCTAAAATCAAAGGTATATCATTTTATTACTCTGCCATTCAGCCCTTAAGTACTTCCTGCCTGTAAAGTGATTCTTCTTCTGGAGTCAGTGAAGCTAAGCTCTTGATACATGGGGAGCTATAAGTTCCCCCTTAGAGTTAATCAATGGCTTCAGATAAAACTTAGCAGTTCAAGATCTCTCTTTAGTTTTTCATCATCCTAATTCCTATTTGCACTTTTTGGGGGGAGTGGGGGTGTTGCATGTGCAAGATCACAGTTCCATTTACCACAGAACATGGTAACTGCAATCAAAACCTTTCACCTGTCAGTGTTCTGAATGGCTGTACTCATGTTACTATTTCTATTGTAATTTGCAGGTTCAATGAACCAGTTTTCAGACTGATCTGATTGTCTGTAAACAGAAAAATGAGCACTGAGGCAGCAAGCATGATCTTGGCCGGTGAGTGTGGAGGGCTACAATGGACCACCTGATGGATCTCTCTTAGGAGTCATTCCCACTTTTGCTTTTAGGTCATTCCTAGCCTACATTTTGTCTATTACCTTAGGAATAGAGTTTGTGTTTTTTATTTACATATATGTAATGCATGTGCACATATATAAATGAGCTTACTTTGCAATTATCATTAAATATCAATCCATCACCTTCCTTTTGATTATACATTTTGGATATTATTCAGAAAATATTTGGTTTTTTCACTAAATAGTTAAACATCAATTTATTCCAATGAAAAATATTCAAGATAAGATATGCAAGTTCTCTCTACTGTTTATTCATAACTCATTTCCATGCAAATCAGAACTGCCATAAATGATGAACATGCCTGTATGAATAAGCTTATAGTTACTATATGTTTATAATGTACAAGATGTAAATCCTTTGTTTACAACTTATGTAATCAATTCTTATGATTGTCAGACTGTCAGAAAAGATATAAACAAAAAACAAGACCATATAAAAGATGAAAAACAAGTTAACATATTAAGGTTATAATATATTTAGAAGTTCATTTTTTCACTAACCATGAAAAACTGAAGATGTTAGAAGTTGTTTTGACAGTATCCCCATGTATAATATTAGAAACATTCCTATTTTATTTTTATGACATCACAAAATGAACAAGTATTGCTCTTATACAGATCAAAACAGGAAAAAGAGGTCACGCTAGAAACTAATTATTCAAAAGAATAATTTAGAATTCATAGGAAATAATGACACATTTATATTACTACCCCATTTTGTGTAAGCTGCAATTCACAACCACAGTCCTGATCCCACCTTACTTTGTGTAGTATTTACAAGATGCAGAGGAGATAGCTTTTAGATCACAGACAGGCTTCATGTCACATTACAGAGAAAATATTTTGAATCTCTGGATTCTTTCTGAACTTCTTAAAAATCTTAATGACTGCAGATGTAGCACAAAAGAATCACCTTCCAACTAGGCCAAGAGATACAATATTTAATCAGTATTTCAGGTGAACACATCTTCATTCTTCAAGCTGTCAATTATCATCATACAAACATATCACCAGAGTATGGAAGGGAACGCAGGACAACAGAAAATATAATTATGGAGAAGGATCTTCACTCCTAATAGCTTTGTACTTAGCCATGTCCTCTGGGAACACTTTAGTCAGTTCCTGAATCAACAGACTTTTGAATTTCTAAGAGAAAAAGAAAAAATATCATGCAAGGAAACTGGACCTTTTATTATTAGTATCTTACAGTAGAAGCAACATCACCTGCCAGAAGACTACTATTAAATCATAGTTTAGTAAACTGAAAACAAATGAATATCTGTCCATCAGTGTTCCACTGAGACAACTGACAATCTTTATGACAGGTTGCCTACAATCACTTTGGCAAATAGAGTAAATACACTGGCAGGGATGCAAAGAATTATATTAAAGGTACCATGGTGCTTACACTTTCCTATAAATACCAGACCTCAACTTATCATGTGATGAGTTGTCTGGAGAACCTCTATCAATTCAAAGAGTTTGCACTTGCAGTGTAAGACATTATTCTCTTCAGAAAAATATCCAAAGTACACACACTAGGCTCTGTCCTCCAGAATTATCCTAGTGCAGAATTGCCTTTATTTCTAAGGCTTCAGATATTTTCCAGTTTACATCCTACTCTTCAAAGTAAAATACATTATGGGGGTGAATTACAAATTACAATAGATATAAGAAATAATAGTAAGTTAATAGAAAGAATAAGAATAGAAATTAAAACAATTGATCAGATTAAAACCTAAGATAACAAAGGTGTTCAAGTAGCATATTAGGTATGTTTGCTGCCTTGAGGTGACCAAATATAAAGGTGGGATAAAATAATAATAATAATAATAGCAGCAGCAAGCCACCCTTTCTAGGCAGAGTACTTTCTGTAAACAAAGTATTGCAACCACAAGCTTCCTTTCTCCATCATAATTAATAAGAAGACTAAGAGTCAGGTTCATATTGAGTAGGTAATCCATGCCCCATTCGATCTAAGACTTGAAGCGCAGTGTCCCAATCTCCAAAATACCATGGTATTAAAGATTGCAAGTATATGCCAAGAACTGCAAAGCTATTTCACAATAACTAGGAAACTTCCTCTGCGGACATGCCTATTTTTATATGTATTATAAGAAAAAAGAAAAAGTGATGTTATTTGAATGCACAAAGAATAGTTTAATGTATTATAAATATTAGTCTTCCTTCTTAAAGATTAATCTGTTTTATTTGTTATTTTATCATAAACTTTCATGTGTTATGTTAATAGGCCACAACCCAATTACTAGGTATGTCACAAAGCAAAAAAAATGTTTTGTGCTAAGCTTAGAAGCATATATAAAATATCATATATTAATGGTACAAGGCTGAAAATATTTTCAGTGTTCTACCACAGAGAACAATGAGAACTCAAAAAATGTAAAAAGCCCCTTGGTCCCAAGCAATTTTTAAAATATATGAACATTTTTAAAAAATGGAAGCAATAATTAAGCATGTTTGCTTGCAGCCTCTGCCTGCAACAAGCAGCCAGAGTTCCACAAAGAAGCCAAAGCAAAACAATTCACTTCAAGAGAGCCCTGAGGTCAGATTGGCCCCGACCTTGCTGGCCTTCTGGAAGGGCCTGAAAACATGGCTTTGACATCTAGCCTGGGGATCCAGTAACACGGATATGGAGCCTGCGAAGCGGCTGCATTGCTAGGGAAATTGAGTGCACTCTCCCGCAAATCATGGGTTTTTTTTAATGTGATCCTTTATTATTAGCCATTAGGCCATATCAGAATACAAAATATAAAATACAGAATAAGACCGTATATTAAAAATAGAGTAAAAGAGTACATTGTAGGCATTCTGTGACACAGAAATATGATTTACATTTTCTTTTACACATGTCTTTTACTCTATTTTTAACATATAGTCTTATTATTGTTTTGTATTTTATATTTTGTATTCTGATATGGCCTAATGACTAATCAATAAAGGATAACTAAATGGGTTTTTTTGTTTTTAATTTAAATTTTTTAATGATTTTTTAATGTTTTGTTATTTTGTTGCCTTGTTTGTGTTCTTAACTTTGTATACCACTCAGAGTCACGTATGTGAGATGGGAGGCTATATAAATTTACCAAATAAATAAATAAGAACTACATAAGCAAAGAACAGCAAAAACTAATTCTATAGATATTGGCTTGAAGCTTTTCCTAATGTACATGCAGACAATGCACACTTAAGGAATACAGATTTTTTACGTACAAGTGGCAACTTACCTTCATGGTATCAATTTTACCTTTCACTTGTTCATTTTTAGCTAGAGCTCTTTCCAAACATTCTTTAGTATATAGTTGGGGATTACGGCCTTGATCTATGTATCTGAGAAAATAAATGTTATGAGATTTTAATGTGGTTCACATATTATGCTTACCATGCACATAAGCCATGCATTCTATCCATATTATTTTCTGAAACTCACACTGGATTATCATTTAATATATTTAACCAAACATAGTTACAATAGCACAGAATTTAAATAACATTTAATGATACTGAATTCCCAGAAATATATGAGGTCCAGAGAGAAAAAAAATCTAGGGAAAGATATGAAGAATATTATATAGTATTTTATAGGAGAACTGAGCAACCCATGGCCCTCATCTGCAAGCAGCCCCACAGACTGCACCACCAAAATTCAGTGCCAAGCCACCATGCAATTTCCCACTGATTCTTGGAAAATAAAGTAAAAAGAAATACTACTGTAGTAAACATGAGATAAACTTAAGATATCTAGAAGTTTTTTAAATTATCCCACTAGACTCCTGGAAAAATGAAATAACTATCCTCCAAACCTGATCCTCTATGGGGATTTCATTACCTCAGCATTCCAGATACAGCCTCTCCGAATGTATTTCCCAAGAGCAAAAGGATATGAGATGCTTCTCAAAAATCAAACACTGTGTACTCCAGAGAATATTTAAAATGAATTTCTAGTGTTTACACATGTATCTATGCCCTGCAGTCCAACTTATTAGACTTACTATGAAAAGATATGTGACTGTTCTTGTGTAAACACCACCAATATCTCTAGGGCCAGATACTGACAGCTGGGGTGAGAAGTTAAGCACTTACTCAAAGACTTCCAAAGGCACACTGATATCATGAAGCTGTTGTCGGCACTTGTCAATATCTTGCAAGCCTGTAACCATAAAATTCCTAGACAGAAACCATTTTTATTAATTTACAGCACACTGAAGTCAAATTATCAATCAATTTATAGAGCCTCTGTGCTAACAGATGCTTTATAAAAGACATTATGAGGCCTAAGTCAATAACCAATCTTGCTCCACGACATGAACTGTCTCTAATAAAGGAAAGAGAAGCTCTCAGAACAAATGGGAAGGAAAGCAAATTGGCAAATCTCCTCTTCTCCTTTAAAATTTCTGCTATGAAGCTCTACACCAAACAAGGAGTTGCACACTCAAACTTCAATTCTACCAGATATTAATAGCTTCTGTGGCTTTTGAAGAAAATTAAAGAAATTTATTAAAATGATCTTACATTATATATCTGTTATAATAGTTAGCTCTTTTAATATCACTGTGTTCATAAACACTGCACTTCTAGGGAGAGAGAAAGGGCAGTTTGTCAGAATGAGAGTGCTTGTTTCCTGATCCAATATAGGAGAAGAACTTTACAAGAATGGTTATGGAAGTTGTCACAACAGCCATCCGTAACAGTTACGCAAATATTTTATTTGTTAGATACTTTGTCTTTCCTCCAGGTGCTCAAGATAGTTCACATAACTAATCCTCCTCCACTTTTTCCTCATAACAATAACCCTGTAAGGTGGGTTGGGCTAAGAGGGAGTGAGTGGCCCAAAGTCAACAGCGGCTGTGGGTGGACTAGAACCTGGGACTTCCCAAGCCTCATCCAACACCTTAACCACCACACCACGTTGTGGAATAGTGGGTGAAAAGAGATTCCAACAACAACAACAACAACAACAACAACAAAGCCTATTGGAGTTGGACGGCTAATAAATGTAAAATCATCATCATCATCATGGTAATGTTTGCTATTCAATTACCAGTGAAACCGTGGGATTTATTTTAAATAAAACGCCATCCGCCCGGTGACCATCACACAACCCCCAATTGCTGTGTCCCCCGCCAGCCCCGCTCGCTTTGGAGGAAGGATTTGGGGAGCCCGAGTCGGAAGGGGAGGCGAGGGAGGGACGTACTCACAGTTTCTGGCTAAGTCCCGCTTGGCTGCTAGGCTGGAAGTCGCTGACAATGATGCCCAGCTGCCGGATGTTTTCTACGAACTTTTCCAGGTGCTCCTCCAGGGAGTCGAACTTCTCCGCCATCCCGCGGAACCAGAGAGCAACTCCAAGCCCCTCCGCGACCACCTCTTTCGCTGCACCGGTCCCTACGTTGCTAGGAGCGCGGCCATGAACGCTGGAGCACCATTTCCTCTTCCGGCTCAAGGAAGGCCTGTCTTTTTTTTTCCCCCCTTTGCGTGGAACATAATAGGATTCGAGAACAGATGTTTTAGACTCCGCCCATACAAGTTTAGACAAACTACGCCTGTCCTCGGGCGCATGCGTAGTCCCATCTCCTGCTTTAGTTGTCTGTTCTGCGCCTTGGGGTTTTCGGCCCGCGCGAATGCCGTCCTGATTCTGCAGAGGGATAAGCAAACGCTTTCGCTCTTTAGCGCACGTGCAGCTCTCGCTGATTTAACCCTTAGTCTTATAGCATCAAAATGCTCGTTTTTACAATGGCATAAACTGAACCAGAATTCACTTTAAACAGGTGCACGAGATGTAATCCTAAATCGGCGGGTGCCAGACGGTTATACATCAACCGTTAGAGGACAGGGTGATTTTGTTTTATTAGCTATGTATTGGTTGATTGGTTAAATTTCATATGGCCACCCGCTCACCAGGCGACTCTGGGCGGCTAACGAGGGTTCAAAACACGGGGGAATTGTTTTTTTAAAAAAATGCTGCGCTGGGGGTCAGGTACGCCATTTATTTATTACAGATACGCCAGCGCGGGAGGGAAGAACCGCCTCTTCAGGGCCGCCTTAAAACCAGATAGGGTTGGGGCCAACCAAATTTCGAGGAAGGGGGGAGTTCATTTTGTATTTGGTTTCCCTTTAAATTGCTTTCTCTCAGTTTCACACACTCCAGGATTGTTGCCTGTCACTTTAGGATTCCATTCGTGCATTGCGTAATGCAGAGTCTGTACAGACATAGCTTTTAAAAAATTGGCTACAAGACAACCCTATTCTTTCTACCCGGGATAAATCCCACTGCCTTTAGTGCGGCTTATCTTTCGGTAAGTGAGTACAAAATTACAGTACAGTCTTAGTATACGCTATAAGGTGCCATGGAGTTGACCTCTACTATTTTTCTACAATAAACGAACAACGACTTTGTTTCCTTTACTTGTAGGACTTATTATTTACTTGTTTTAAATTATAAACACAATTAATTAATTGCATGTAAAATCTAGTTAGTTGGCCGCTAGTTGGCAGCAAGGAGTTCAAATTTTGTACCTCTTTGCTGCAATCTAGTGCTTAAAAGGATTTTCCCAGTCTATTTACATATTTTATTGACATCCAACTAAGTAATAATTTATTTACATTCAGGCATGTTAGGCTGCTACAAATATGAAACTCTGTGATTGAACGCACTCATTGCACTAAGTCATAATGTGATTTCTTTAGTTTTGGCTTAGCATGTTGTGTAAACTCAAACCCGCATTTAATTCAGCAAAGGCAATGATTTTAATACAGTAGCCAGTTGCTACATGTTATGTTTATCCAGAAGTAAAGCTCTTTGTTTACAGGAACATGAAGGATTTGAATAAAGGAGTTTTCCAATGCAAATAGCTACACCTTTGACGTGATAGTGATGGCAGAGGGAAATGGAAATGTCACATTTATCTCTGTTCCTCCTTGCTACGCTATGTATGTTACCAGCCACCCTTGCCATTTAGGACTAAAGCCCAGCTTTGGTGAGTTTGAAGTTGGAATTCCTTAAATTCAGGTAAATACACAAGGTAAGGTAATAAACGTGTAATCCTAAGTACACTTGCTTGGAACGTAAGTCTCACTGGCTTAGAAGCAGCAACTAATAGACCAGTCCCATATTAATGAACTAACAAAACTGGCAGGAGGCCCACTGTGCACTGGAGCATAAAGTAGCTACAAGAATTATACCACATGAAAGGATTATATGCTTCAGCTGTTGATTTTCATTGTTCTCAGTCCACTGGTGACACCACTGAAGTAATATTTTATTTATTTATTTATATATCACATTTATATAGCCGCCCATCTCACACAAAGTGACTGGGCAGCGTACAATTAAATAAAATAACAAATAGATAAAACCATCATTATAAAAGATTAAAAAGTGATTATTAAAATACAACATCAAAAAGTTTAAAAATTTTAAATTTTAAAATATATATTATTATTTAGTAGTAGTAGTAGTAATATTTTTATTTGATACACACTTAAGTGCTATGCAAGCAAGCAACAATACTGTAAGAGATCCTATAAAACTATTAAGCCCATAGTCGTAATTGTCTTTTAGTAAAATATAGATTAGTTTATATTTTTTTACCTAGTTACACAAAATATAAACTAATCTATATTTATGTTGAGTTCTTGGTGTTCCCTGTGCTTCCTTTTCTTGTTCTACATGTTTCATTACCAGACTAGGTAACATTATCTCTGACACTGATGATGTTACCTACTCTGGCAATAGAACATCTCCAAGAAGAAAACCAAGCTCAGGGAACATCAAGAACCTACATATATTCTCTACTATGCTGTTCATCAAGTGTTTACAATGACCTATTGCAGTAGAATATAGTTCCGCATCTCATTGCGTCTGTGTTCATGAATGTGATTGTATTATTCATTTATTATCTTCATAGCCCACTTTTTTCCAGTTGCAAAAAGCAGCATATATTCCATCTTCCAAAACCTGAAGAATATCAAGTCTAGTAAACCCCACTCCCAACATTCATAGCTATCCATGGGGTTCTGATGCTTTTACCAAAACAATAACGGCATTACGCTGTTGCAATGCAAACTCTGCCCCTTTCGTACTGCACGCAGTGCACACAGTGTTGCAACACACATATACAAGAGGTGGTGCTTGCAACAGCATGGTGCTCTATCAATATTTGCCCACTCTTGACTCCCTCTGCTGATGCCTCTGCCAATGTTTAAGGAAAGTATCAACAAAAGACAAGCATAGGAATAGGAACTACTGTAAGGACAATTTCCTTCCTAGAAGTGGTTCAATCCTAACTCTTAAAATCTATTTTCCAAGCCCTCAAATGCATACCAAATAGTGTTTAAAAGTTGAAGCCAGACTATTGAAAATTGAAGTGAGGATTTGGGCTGCCATGTTTAATTGATGGCTAAAGTTAAATCTAGCCCCTTCTAGACTTGGTCTTTCATGAGATTGTTAATTAGAAGCTAAATTCCATTTATATGGCTTTTCACCAGGATTATTCTTGGTTTTAGGGCCTGAACATCTTAAAGCAAGCACTAAAGCAAGAGTTAATTATACGGAACACCAAACTGACGTCTCTTTGGTTCCAAGTAATTATGATTTGTATAAAATTGCTTGCTCAAGCCAGCTAAATATCATACAGATAGAAGAGCATACTCATTAGCAAGATCCAGAGCCTTACCATCTGCAATACCATATGGAAAATATAGGAAAATTCCATATGGCAAGAGAGTATGGCATGATTAGGTTACCTGCTTTTAAGTTATGATCTTTTTCAAAATATTTGTTGCTCTATAATTGTCTCATTCTTCTCATCTTACTGGGGTGACTCTGAAACACTTCTGGCTTCCTTTTCACTTTTGAGAGAGAGGGGGGGAGAGAGACAAAAAGAGAGAAAAAAGCATCTTAATTTTACATGGTAATTTGCAGGATTAAAGAAGAAAGTCATAACTCTGATCCTAAGATTTAAATTCTGAGCATTTTAATTTTGAAATAAATCTTTCTTTTAATGTTATAATAAGCTTATGATACCATGATTCTGTATTTAATAAATACTTATGCTTTCATCTTTATGTATATTTTGGGCTTTGAGTGAAAATAACAACAAGGGGACACTGACTTACCAAGACCAGAAAATAGGTATATCAAGGACTGACTTCTGACATATAATGATGTCATACGATGGCTGTTGTGGGTCTTCCGGGCTGTGTGGCCGTGGTCTTGAAGTCTTGTTTCCTAACGTTTCGCCAGCATCTGTGACCGGCATCTTCAGAGGGCACAGAGAGAACTGCTCCTGTCTGTGCTCCTGCACTCTGAAGAAGCCGGGCACAGATGCTGGCGAAACGTTAGGAAACAAGACTTCAAGACCACGGCCACACAGCCCGGAAGACCCACAACAGCCATCGTATGACATCATTATATGTCAGAAGTCAGTCCTTGATATACCTATTTTATGGCCTTGGTTAGTCAGAGTCGCCTTGTTTTTATTTTTCCTCTAAGCCTAAA